ATGCTTTCTATGGACATGCGTTTTCGGCTATTCGTTTAGCCATTATCAAGGATGATTTTATTTTGTATGGATTTTTTATGCGTATATCTAGAGTAAACCGCAATACCTTGTCAGTCGGTTTTAACGAAACTTTTATAAACATTTAAATCTCGATACATACAAAAAACATCCATGAAAATATTATAAAAACACAAAGAAAATTTAAGTAAAATGCTTAACCGCAATATTTTTTGTCTGTTGCTTGTAATTAAACTTTATATATATATATATATATATATATATATATATATATATATATATATATATAAAAAGTAATTCATCGCGTCTTGATGAAACCTCAACAGGATGCAGAAAGCACTGGACGACCGTTTCGTCCTATATTTGGGACTCATCAGCAGTGTGCATCCACTAACGAGAATTGAAAACTGTGTCCGTTTATCAGGTAAACGTCATACCATCGTGTGTGTGTGTGTGTGTGTGTGTGTGTGTGTGTGTGTGTGTGTGTGTGTGTGTGTGTGTGTGTGTGTGTGTCTCTTTCTCTCTCACTCTCTCTTTCTCTCTCTCTCTATATATGTGTATATATATATATGTGTGTGTGTGTGTGTGTGTACGTGAATGTGTGTAAATGATTTAAGTCCGAACAAAACATATATTCGCAATTTAAACCAAATGACTAAGCAGGTCAACTGTATTTATGTAGGTTAGAGAGGCACCTTTCAAAATGAAGGTAGAATTGGAAGAATGTTTGATCAGCGACGGCCCTGAAATGAGATCAGCCCCGCTAATAATGTTTGGTATGGAACACACCTCTTGACGCGTAGATACCCGGAGAATGTGTCATTCTATACTAACCCTCATGTAACACAATCCCATAAACTCAACATGTGTGATTAGATGGACTTAAGAATCTATCTCGGATTAATTCTCCCTAGAGCACGACAATTCTAAAGTAGATTTCAACGAAGATACTGAAGCTCTGAAGTGACTTACTGTCACTACGTCTTCAGCGTGAACAAACCTGTTCGCTGAAGAAATATAACATTTGCATGTGTTATTAACAACAGCCCTTTGAATTATCTGTGAAATATTTAGTTAAGTAAATATCAGAGGGATTATTCTGGAAACTGATCCTAAAGAGGAATCAAGTGATAAACATTTAATCCGGTTTAAATCAGGAAACAAACGATAAATCTTTAATCCTGTTCAAAAGACGATAAGTGAACCTGTCTACTCATTTATTCGTGTCATATTATAATACTGCTTATACCTCGGTCGTTTAGTTATTGTTACTATAGATATTATTCACATGATACAACGATTGAGTGCTACTCAATGTATAAAGTTTGTGTAAGGGAGTATAAGGATAGAGAAAATTATGATAATATGAAGGATACATAAACGTTAACCCGTTGACTCTCGACTTGAAAGAGCTTAGGATTGTAGTAATCAGGGAACCATACGCTCAGATATCCGGTACACATTGCAGCAGTTTTCGGAAACTTATTCCTTACCAATGACATGTGAGGGAAATGACGATACGTACGTCGCACTCGTGGAACCAAGGAATGTAGTTCGACCGAACATCTACCATGAAAATAAAGATAGCTTAGCAGGAAGCCTTCAATGTTTGCTCCGTGGGGAAGTGTTTGAGTGATGGATAGCAATTTATCACCTACAAGGCTGCGCAAACTTTTTTTTATATTTGGTCGAGGCCGGAAAGAGGGCATTTCGTGGCTCCGGTTCAGAATTGACAGCAATGTTCCATTTTTAGTCTGAAGAGATACCGCATATATTTTGGCATTTTCTTAAAATGTACAAGGAGTTGAGTTTTAGCGATGGATCTCATGTTTGAATTCCATATGAGGGCTGGCGTAAACTTGAGTGCCGATAAATGTTCTTCAAAAAGAGCCTCTCTTTTTGAGGAACAGGAATAGAGGTTTGCCCTTGTTTTCTGCTTAGGACCGGTTTTAAGCGTACTTCTAAAGTCTACTTCAACTCTCCATATAAAAAATCTTCTCCTGTACTCTATTTCTATTTCGGCCTTATTTTTACTCGGTAGGAGAAGACTGCTTTGCCTATGGCACGGTTCACACTCCTCCCCGATCTTTTGAACAGAAGTAAAAGTTTATACTTGCTTGCTCTTTAGGATCAGTTTTCTGCTTCCTTCTGAAGTTTACTTCAACATATATTCCCTAAATATTTCCTCTGATATTTGCTTCAATAAATATTTCCAGATAATTCAAAGGGCTGTTGTTAAAAGCATATACAAATGTTATATTTCTTTAGTGAACAGGTTTATTCACGCTGAAGGCGTAGCGACAGTAAGTCACTTCAGATCTCCAGTATCTTCGTTGGAATCGACTTCAGAATTGTCGTACTGGTGGGCTACAAGCGACCAGAAGAAAATAAATAGTAACACTCAAAATTGAGCCGTTTGGAAAGAACTATCTCCTGTCAATGCTTAATCTATCAGAGTCTGTCTATATTAGATCCAGTGACAGGACCCAAAGAGTGTAAGTTCAATACCCGGTTAAGGCAGTGGAAAACTTTCAGGGGGATATTAACAAGAGATAACTGATAACTGACATCCATTAAACATGGCACGTGGAACTAGAACAGTCTACCCCAGTGAGCGAAATAAAGGCTTCAGTTCGAAATTCCAACCACCTGAAGAAGGCCGGAGCGTACAACGGCCGAAGCGTTGTGATAAATATGGCGACAAAGATGAGGAGAATAGTCCGAATAATGTAAATAATGTGCTTAATCTATTGTAGGCAAAAATAACATAATGATAAGGTTATTAGTTATAAATTATAAGTCATGTTAGAAATAATATACTTAGCATTCGCTAGAAACTCAGATAATAGCTCTGAAAACTCTATGTAATATCAATCCTCCTTTACGACAGAGAATGATGAGCTATTAATTCCCAGACCCGGAGCCGATATGATGCGACGGAGGTGCGGTTTTACAGAACGGTGTCGAAAACACCACGACCATGGCATGTGGCCAACGAGTAAACCTTAAGGAAAATGGAAACAAAAAGCTCTCCTATGAGGTTAAGTAAAAAATTATCCACACTTTAGCTATAACATAACTTTAGATTTGTTACATTGCCTTCTGCTCATACGTGCTTATAGTTGGTACTAATTTGGTCACGCGATCAAAGTTTGAGTTTGATCGCGCCAGTTTTCTTGCTTCTGTTACAGTATAAACATGGCCGCACCGCAAGCAGTGTGCACAAAGGAGGAACAAAGAGCGGTGATCCGAATCTACAGAGAACATGCTACCTTATCGATAATAACTCACCGGTTCGCTAGTACCATCTCTCGAGTTTGCTGAATCATTTCGTCAGTGGTTTAGGTCGGCGGGCGTCCTAATCCTTCTTCGTGCATCACGCTTGTTCGGTCACTTTTAAATTTTTCCATCCACACATTCTCACTTCTACCCGGTAGTTCACTGTCACTATATTGCGTTAAAAGCGACCTATTAATTTCAGCGCCTGACACATCTTCCGACTAGAGTAATCGGATCACTACTCTTTGTTGCTTCTTGGGGCATACTGCTAGCGGAGCGGTCATGTTTACACTGTAACAGCAGGGAGAAATCTGTCACTATCAAGCTTAAACTTCGATCACGTGAGCACAATAGTACCAACTATAAGCACACATGTACAGAAGGCAGTGTGAGAAGCCTAAAGATATTTTATGGTGAAAGTGTGGATATATATATATTTTTTAACCTAGTATATTTTAAATAAGAAACCTTAGTGGAAAATGTTAGGGTGCATAATAAGGAAAGGAGACTCGAAGAATTTGACACTCACAGGATATATTGACGGCAATTGGAACGGAGAGAAACAACGAGTAGCCTACCTTACAAGTTTGTGTAAATGGATGGAAGTTCAAGGAGTGGTAAAGTTAGTGAAAGAATATGCATTGGTAAGAGATGAAAAAGATAGGAAGAGCCATAATTGCACACGTCCTGGCGGGACACAGCAAATAAAAGAAAAAGAAAGAGATAATGATGATAATAAAAAGAATGACCATAGTAATAAAATTCCTAAATGCTGCCTTATATCATTTTTATAGCTTGAGCATATTTTTAAAAAGAGACATACGCGAATATTGTATCTGAGCCTGTCAGATATAATAAAATCTAAGTAAAAAAAAAAAAACAGAACAAACAAAATATTAATGACGCCGACAATGTTGCCAATGGAGTTACAAACATTTGATTCTACTGGTTGGTAAGATGTAACATTTTTAGGAGTCTTCACTGATAAAATGCTAACATACAGTCTATTTTCCCTCAGTCATCTCGTTGTGCCGGTGAGGGCATATGTTTCAATGAGATATTTGACAATGAAAATGACAGAGAGATCAGTGAAAAAGGCATTGATAATCTTTATTTTTAAATAATGTCCATCGTGTACAAGTCCCAAGGGCCGCTCGAGGTAGAGAGTTACTGAGTAAGATGCACAGTTTTATGGGGATATGTGGGGAATATACCAATTAACCCTAGACTTGAACAAGTTAAGATTTTAGCGACCAGGGAAGCATTCTGTTGTGAGTTGGTTCCACGAAGAAGCATTTACATGTCACCAATGGAATACGAAGGGGATGAGGGTGATTCGCTACAATGTGCGTAGCATGGCGGTTATTAGACGTAAAGGTTAGAACTGGTGAAACTAAGGAATGCAGTTCGTCTATGGAAATCGAAATAGAACAACGAGAGGCTTGAGATGGTTTTTTTTGTGTGTGTGGTGGGGGGGGGTTCTGTGAGAAAAAGGTTGTAGAATGGAAAATAATTCCTCACCCACAAATATGGGGAGGGTCTTTTGGACTCTATCAAGAGTGTGAAGTGAAAACTGGGCAGCCCCTACCCATATATAACGAGTGATCATGGCTCTTGTAAAGAGAGAGAAGAGCTATCTTCCTGGATAGGTACAAGGAAGCAACCATTTTTCCAGTATCTTTAATAAGGGTTCCACTTGAACCATACGGTCAAATCACGCTGAAAACACCGGTTCTCGTTCGATCACCGAAGTTAAGCATCGTAGAGCCAGGTCAGTACTTAGATGGGGGACCGCTTGGGAACACCTGGTACTGTAAGCCCCCAAAGTCCAACCCTTACCTCACAGTCGGTGGAGGGGTGTAAACGGTAGTGTCAGAGCTATGCCGCCCGGAACTTCGTTCCTGGTAGGGCCACCCAAGGCGGACAGGTCTGACACACACGCCGGCTAACAAGGGCTCTGGTGAAAATCCAAGGAGCGTCTGCATCGGTAACCGGCGGCTTCTGGTCGTTCCTGTCTCTGCGTCTGTAGGAACCCCGCGGCAAGCAAGAACGTTATCCGAGTAGGCCTGGGTTTTACTTCTGTAATTTATCCCAAGAATCTTCTTCTCATAACAGGAAGAAGCCGGCTCAATCCGCCCAGGGTGAATGCCGCATCAGTACAGTAGTAGTACACTTGAGGTCTGGGTGAAGTTTAAGTTCAAATAGTCGCTCAGACCGTTCATAAAAATAGGTAAAAATTCAGGATCCTCTGAACGGACGAAAACTCAGCTTGACGATTGTCTTTTGTTTTTTTCAAAATCTAAAATCAAAAATATATATATATATTTCTTATTCCTATAAACATTATTCTGAGTGGATACATGTATTTGATTTTTTTTTCTTTTCTTAAACAGTGAAATTAGTGACAAATGGCCTAGATTGATAAGTCTTACTAATGAGAAATTGTACGCGTGTGTTCGCACGGGCGTAAATGTTCCATTTGCTACGCGCCATTTTAAAATTATGGTTACTGTTGCCAAATCCAAGATTAAGATACTTCAGTAGGTTTGTAAACATATTTCAATACATACTTTATTTTATTCTGATCTTATTTACCATACTGAAACATCCAGTTTTTGATAATGAGTGAGATAATCGAACAATTACTCAGACAAAATACTAAAAAAAAAAACGAATTTTAAGCAGTATATTTAGGTACTTCCATGAGATCGCTAAAAAAGAGCATTGCATGATGAAAAAGACGCCAAACTTTACGAAAACAAAATTTTATCGTCTAAATGTTCATGTTATTATTAAGAGGAAAGTATTTTGGATCTTTCCTCTTAATAATAGCATAAGCATTTAGACGATAAAATTTTGTTCTCGTCAAATTTGTCGTCTTTTTTCATCATGCTATGCTCTTTTTTTAGCGATCTCATGAAGGTACCTAAGTATATTCATAATTTTCATCTCGACATGCAATATCATATTCGGAAACTGAAAAAAAATATAATTAAATATTCGACCGATATTCTCGGTTGAATTAACAAAACTTGTTTGGATAAATCCTTGTTCTCCAAAAATACACTTGATAAATATATTTTTTATTTGAAAGTCTTTTTTTATCCAGGTGACACCATGCATACCTGACGAGCTGAAAAGAAATATTCATAGATATATGATTTGTTTTTTACGGTTTATCAACCATTTAATAATTATTTAGGGCCGAAAAATATTTCGGGTTTTAAGAATAATTCTTTCTTTACGTTCAAGCGATCTGGAAGAAGGAAAGAGAAAACGAAGAAGAAAGAAAGAAAAAATAATACGAAAACAGGTCATAGGCGAGCACACACACGCCCTGCTGACAGATAACAGGTGTCGAAAAATATCCAGGTCAAGCATCTAACCGAGATCTGGGGAAAATGGAAGTTGTTATCAATTGGTTGAAGAAACGAAGTTTAGGGACAATGAAAAATATTGATAAGTAACAAGTGGAAAGTGTGTCATTGGAATGATAGTAAAAGTCTAAGTGGGTGGGGAAGTGTATCTAAGGATATGAAGGCAAACCATTAATACGAAAACCCAGACAATCTTCAGAATTGGAAAAAGCCACACAAGATGATGTCGTAGAAAATTTTTTTTTGAGATAATAAAGATTTTTATTATCGGACCTTCGGCCGGAGGAAATGAAGTATTTTTATTTCGTTCAAAAAAACGCCAACAGGTCTGAGAAATCCCTTTCTTAGGTCATATCCAATTAGCGATAAACTGCTTGACAAATACCACGTGTTAAAAAGCCGAAGGTGTCATCGCAGTCGCTCATGATAAGGGCGATTTAAATTAATATTTTTGTTTTTTTAAGCAAGGTGTTTCTTTCCCCAAAACAAAGCCACGGATTGTCCACACCCGACTAAGACGTCATTGGCTAAATAAGATCACATGACACACGAAGGAGGAGAAAAGATACCCGACCAGGACCTCATTGGCCGAAAGCGGTCACATGACACACGAAGGAGGAGGAAAGATACCCGACCAGGACCTCATTGGCCGAGAGCGGTCACGTGACGTACGAGGAGAATCGGTCGACGTCCCTGTCAGAGGTGTAAGTGTGAGAAGCCGATACGAAGAAGCGGGTAAGCGGGTATACGCCCCTCAGAGGCACAGTAAGGAAGTGGGAGTGAAAGTGAGTTACCGAAAATGGAAAATCCCTAACCAGAAATAAGAAGGGTGGATACGTATTTAGAATTATCGAAAAACCCCTGGCGCCGACAGACCCACCCCAGTTTTGACTGCGTCAATAAAAGCGGGACCCCAACCGACAGAAATCAGTTTGAGTTAGAGTTTGAGCAGCGGACGGCGAAAGAGTTCTGCCGTGGACGACAAGCAGAGATGAGCGCCCAGTGTTGAAACCGCATCAAGATAGCTGACCAAGATTCACGCACACTTCTGGACTCTTCTTCAACCAAGAACAAGTAGTTTGAAGAGCGACTTAGAATCAGACCACAGAAATAAGTTTTTTTTCGACTTTCGTCCAAAGACACACCGAAACACAAATTTCTTAGAGAGCAGACAACTGGAAGCCTTAAAGTTGCCTAGTAAAAAAAGCGTCGTGCCACAATCCACAGAACGGGTCAGGGAAGTAGACATAGTCCTATGTACCGAGCCAATAGACATAAAAAGTTTGTTACCTTTTTCTTTGATACGTTGGACCTTGTGAGTTTTATTTTTCTTTCATACATAATTGTGTGTTATCACCCCGTTAGACTCAACTCATTACGGCCCCAACCCCTGTTTGATCTCGTCTGTCTAAGATCAATTCACAACGTGGGTAGGCAGACTGGAGATCAGTGCAGTTACCCTGGTAACCAGGCGTTGGAAGCGGGTTGGGAACGGCGAGGCTGGTATCAATCTAACCAAAGGGTTAGAACGTCACGTTTGGAGCAGCGAGGAGCGAACAGCTGACGCCGCGGCAAAGACGTCACAGTTGGTGCTGTCCGTGACCAGGATATCAGAGCCTGGGGAGCACGTGACGTCACAATTGGCGCCGCGACCGGGATCGAACGACACAGTCGACGCTGCGACCGGGGGACGACGTCACACTGACATGTCTATTAAAAATAAATAAATAAAAATTAATTATTCTATCACAAATCATTATAATAAAATAATTATAACAATTACAGTATGCGATGGGTAAATTGTCGCCAATTTTATATTTTTAATTTCGCGCATGCTCATTGTTTCTGTTTGATTTTGTCGATTGCATAATACAGTAGGGTCAGTGGGGCACTCTCTGCGAGAAAAAAAAGAGTATCATGATGCAATTCACTACGTCAAAAAGTTTGAAATGCCATGATGTACTGCATGGCATTTGCACCCGAAGCTCCAGTGCGCACTTTTCAGTGTGTTTGGGTGTCAATCAGAAGAGAATGTTTAGGATTCTGAATGAGTTGAATGATATATCCAGTCAACATCATGGTGTTTGATGTGATCACTAGTGATGGCGACGTTATGCCTCCATTCAACTTCGCACACTGTCTCAGACTCAACACAGAGGACCACATCAAGTGCTTTCAAGAGGGTGGCTTCTAGAAGACATTATGCCTGGCAACAGGACTCTGCACCATGCCGCACAAACAGGAGAACTCAGTTATAGCTGTAAGACAATTTCTGCGACCATTTCAACCCTTACATCTGACCCCCTAACTCCCCAGACTGCAACCCCCTTGATTATTATGTGTAAGGAGCAGTAGAGTGAGAGACCAATAAAACTCCTCGTAACAACAAAAGATGAGCTGAAGGAAATTATTATGGCAGGATTCACCAACTTAAACAAGGCGACAGCCCAGAAACGTTGCAGGAAATTTCGAATTCGCCTAGAGGCCGTGTTTGGGGCCAATATTGATTGTATTGAATAAATTTACTTCTTAGTATTTTAAGGTATTTTTGTGTAATTTTGCTAATTATATCTGTTAAAATGATTTATCAGATTTCTTTGGGGCGTATTTTAGACGACAGTTTATCCATCGCACCGTGTATAGTGTTCATTAATACGATTCAAACTTTCTAAAAGAATACGAAACAAACCCCACTCTTTTCCCCCCAAACACAAACACGTGGCACCCTCACGAATAGCCATCCAAAACCAGAATTGACCAAAATTTTGGTTCCTTTTATTTCCTTAACGTCTTATTCATAGATCATAGTCACCATATTTCACCCCTTAGATACACAGATTACAAAGAGATTTTTTTTTAAATTAGAAGTCGTTGGCTGTTGTGCCAATCGGACAAAAGGTTGCAAAATGGATGTGCGTTTTCCATTGTTTTACTATTTCTTGGGTGTTAAATCAAAATGAAAAGCAGCTACTTGCAGTCTTCTTCAAATACGAGTTTACCGTCGCCGTAAAAGAAAGCAAATGGTGCTCTTCCACTTGGTATTCCCGAGTAAATTCGACTCAGAGACGGGTGGATAGCAGGAGCAGTGAAAGAGACTGAATCCCGACTCTGGCTCTGACACAGACCCAGAACATGATTGAATCTCTCAAGTCGTATCGCGTTAGAAACGGGAAATGAGATGACGTTGACCAAATTACCCTCTTTCCTAGTTAAAAACGTTATCACTTGCGACATGTCCTTTTTAATCATTTCACACACGCACAAGTAAAGCCACTGAGACTCAAGAGGGTCACTGAATGTGAAAGAATATAAAAAAGGAAAAACATTAAGGAGTGAGAACAATAAAAGAATTGTAGTTAAGAAGACAGAATATAGCGACTGACTTTGCATTTAAATTTTTGAAGATCAAACTTGACTGGATAGCAAGAAACCGGAAGTGTA